TTTTTAAAGATTTTATTTATTTGAGAGAGAGCAAGAGAGAAGGAGAGAGAGAGAAAGCATGAGCAGGGGGAGAGGTGGATGGAGAGGGAGAAGCAAACTCCCTGCTGAGCAGGGAGCCGGATGTGGAGCTTGATCCCAGGGTCCTGGGACCATGACCTGAGCCAAAGGCAGACACTTAACCAACTGAGCCCCTCTCTTTCTCTCTCTAAAATAAATAAATAAATTACAAAAAAAAATAGGGTTATTTGGGAAAGATGTTAAACTGACATGTGTTTAATAATCACTATCTGAAATAGCATGTGATGTGAAGAATTATAACCAGTCTTAAACATGTTTGTCTAACTTTTCTCCCTGTCACAGAAAAGAAAACAGCATAGGGTCGCCTGGGTGGCTCAACTGGTTAAGCCACAGACTCTTGATTTCAGCTCAGGTCGATTTCAGGGTCATGAGATTGAGCCCCACATCAGGCAATCACTTGAGATTCTCTGTTTCCCTCTGCTCCTCCCCCCACTCACATGCTTGCATGCTCCCGTGTTCTCTCAAATAAAGAAAGAAAGAAATAATAAAATCTTAAGAAAAAGAAAATAGCATATAACAAGCAAAGAAAATAAGAAAAGTGTCAAAGACAAAAGGGATAAAAATTATATCAATACTCATCCTTTTTAGAAAGCTATTCAGTAGTATTGCTTCATCTTTGGAGATTATCTAATCAGTATATTTTGAAATAATAAGTTCACTTTAATAGTGTTTATAATACAGAAAAAAATTTTAAGAGAGGGTTAAGACAACTGTGAAAAGTAAACTTATCTTTTTACCTTACACAATACACAGCAAAATAAATTTCAGATGGGATAAAAAGTTAAAAACCTAAAAAATAAACCAGAACAAGTAGAAAATGTAGGTGGGTACTGTGGTATCAGCAAGGGGAAGGCTTTTCTGAGCATAATAGAAATCAAGAAAATGATAATCAGGCGTGGCTACATTAAAAATGAAAGCTTCCATTCACTAAAAAATACAAATAAAAATAAAAGGCAAATGAAAACTGGGTAAAATATTTGCACACATAAACCAAGGATTTTAAAGTGTTACTACAAAGCAACAGGGAGCGGAAAATGAGACAAATGAACAAGGAACCTAAGGGGTAACTCACAAAGGAAATCCAAACTAATAAATGTATGAAGAGATGTTAAACTTGAGTAGTAATCTAAAAAACACCTACTAAAAGAAACATTTGATCATTAAATTGGAAATCTTTTTTTTTTATTTTTTTATTTTTATTTTTTTTAGATTTTATTTATTTATTTGACAGAGAGAGACACAGCGAGAGCAGGAACACAAGCAGGCTTCCTGCCGAGCAGGGAGCCCTATGAGCGGGGCTCGATCCCAGGACCCTGGGATCATGACCTGAGCCGAAGGCAGATGCTTAACAACTGAGCCACCCAGGTGCCCTGGAAATCTTAAATTATTACAAAATTTATTCAGCGAGGACTATGTATCTGATCAAAGCAGACAAAATCTCTGGCTTCCCAGAAGACTGCACAGGAACTGATGTAAGAACTGATACTGATACAGCAGATGAATCAGCCTAAATATCCATTGCACAAAACAAAGATGCAAGCATAACTGGAAGAGTATTCAGTGCTTAAAAGCTGTATTTTGAAGAATATTTGGCAATATAGAAAAATAGTCATGATGTTTCAGAAGAAAGCACTAGTTATATCAAAGCACTAGTTACAGTCCTATTTGCAGTAGGACCCATAGGATTCTCTGGGGAGAAAAGGTAATGGGTGTTTTAAGTTTTTTCCATATACTTTCTTATTCTGTCTAAATTTTCTTTAATATGCATTACATCTTCATAAAAATAAAGTCATTAAGTTTGTTTTTAATTAGTGTTTATTACCTTGAATCTGAAAACAGAGAAATCACAGATCACATTCAAGAAGTACTTACAATAGAACATGAAATTCAGCAATATGTTTCCCAATACTGGCAGTACTCCCTGGCTTTAATTTCAGTTTTTCAACTTCTTACTTTACTTTCACTATGTTAACTAATGAGGAACCTGTTACTTTTCTTACCTTTGAAAAGTCCTTTGATACCTCCCATCTTTTTTACCATCTGTGCAAATTTGGTATATTGTGTCAAAAGTTCTTGAACATCTCTTGTTGACA